AAACCCTTCACCACTTCAGACAAATGGTTATCCAACATCTTCTTAAAAACTTCCAGTGTTGGAGCATTCACAACTTCTGGAGGCAAGTTGTTCCACTGATTAATTGTTCTAACTGTCAGGAAATTTCTCCTTAGTTCTAAGTTGCTTCTCTCCTTGATTAGTTTCCACCCATTGCTTCTTGTCCTACCCTCAGGTGCTTTGGAGAATAGTTTGACTCCCTCTTCTTTATGGCAGCCCCTGAGATATCAGAACACTACTATCATGTCACCCCCTAGTCCTTATTTTCATTAAACTAGACATACCCAGTTCCAGACCTAGTTTGTATTTTTTTTCTTTAAATCAAGAAATGAAAATCTTAATGATTGATTAATGAATGTTGGAATATGAACTTAGGAGATCCAGAGGCTGCAAAAATGGGATTATGGACGTTCGGTCCTACCTTCAAACCATATTGCAGTTGTAGACAATACATGATGTGGAAATCAAAGGACAATTTTTCCTTTTTTCGCAGTAAGGAACAAATATAAATCAGAAAGTGAAAAGATAAATGTGATCCATCAATACAAGACTGAACCTTCACTTGGTCTTTGTCCTCGGACATGCTGACAAGAAGGGACTGGAACAAGGGTGTGAAACTCGCAGCCCACGGGCCAGATGCATCAAGGGCTGCCCCCCCCCACCCCCAGTTTAGCGAAGGGGGGAAAGTCAGGATACGTCACGTGATGACAATGTGATGACATGGGTTTGACATCCCTGAACTAGAATTTGATTTGATTTCGACGAATCTCAATTTACCTTTATCTCTGAATCCAAAACAATGGTTAACCCTAACCATTATGGTTAGTTTTAAAAACCTACTTTCATACTTTATGAGGCATTTGTTTCATTCAACCAGAAGAAGATAGGTTTGCTTGCCTAGCAGGTTTCTATGTTTCTTGGTCATTTGCCCCTCCGTATATTTAATTTGTGTTGTGCTTGGCACCAGCTACTATCTCCCACCCTGGCAAATAGGCCTGGCCCTGTGAATCTATGGGGTATTCAGAACAAAACTCTGTATCTGATACATAGCAATAGCACTTACATTTATATACTGTGTCACAGTGCTTTTACAGCTCTCCCTCAGTGGTTTACAGAGTCAGCCTGTTGCCCCCAACAATCTGGGTCCTCATTTTACTCACCTCGGAAGGATGGAAGGCTGAGTCAACCTTGAGCCTAGTGAGATTTGAACTGCCAAATTGCGGGCAGCCGGCAGCCGGCAGAAGTAGCCCGCAGTACTGCACTCTAACCACTGTGCCACCGCAGCTCATACATACATGTTCCCAAGAGCATACATACATGTTTTCAAGAGCCTGTCATAGTCTTACTGCAATGGTAGCTACCGTGGAAGGCATCAGAGGGAGCAGCTGCTCCATAGAATACTTTGATTTACAGTAAAAAAACAAAAACAAAAAACCAGGTAGCCAGAGCATCTTTGATGAGCTCTTCAAAAGAGACACTGAAATAGCAGGTCAATCTGACCTGTGGCTCAGGAGAAAGTTAAGTTGCTCTCTATTCAGCACTTGGTTATGTTAATTGTAGGATTAGCCCTAATGGTAGGTTGCCTGGCTATCCCACTAAGCCAGGGCTGTCAAACTCCCAGCCCACAGGCCATGTGCGTCATGCACTGGCCACGCCCAGTTTAGCAAAGGAGGGGAAAGTCCCGATATGTCACATGATGCCGCCATGACAACAAGAGTTTGATACCCCTGCACTAAGCCATGATATCTTAAGTAGAGGCAAAGGATTCCAAAATTCTCCCAGCTGTCCTGGAGAAGGAGAACAGGTCCATTTTCATGAAGGTATCGTGACTTTTTCCTCCTTTATTAAACTGAGGATGGGTGTGGCCAGCGCGTAATGCATCTGTCCTGTGGGCTGCGAGTTTGACGCCCCTGACTTTGCTGAAGCCCGAATGCTAGATAAAAGTCACAAATTACTAAAACAGACGCTTGCATTGTAAAGTAAGTGGGAAACTTGAATTTTTCAATGCAATGGAATGAAATTTCCTGAACTAGTATTTTGGATTCAAGGCACTTTTTTATTTATAAGAAATTTTGAAAAGCTACTGTAGTTAATATGATGTTCATGCCTCATGAAAGAAAGTAATTTAAAAAACAATTTTTAACAAAATTTAATGGTGAGATATGTGAATCAAGCTCTCTCTGCTTAATTTTCAGCATTCCAATTTCCAGGCAGTTGGCTTCTATAAAGGGTAAGGTGATCCATGCTATTTTTCTCCTCTGTCTATCTTTGGTTAGGTGACACTAGTCAACCTAGGAATTACATTGGCCACCCTCTATGCAAAGTGTACATCATTGCTCTTCCAGAATGAAAGGTTCCATCAATTCTGTGGGGATTTTATTTCTTCCTGCAAACTTTTTCCTGTATAATGCTGAGCGATGCAGTCAGTACTGAGAACAGCTTCTCCCGAAATCCATGGCAGGAGTGCAATTAGTTTACTATAACAACTTCATTGCCAAGCCGTATGTCACTGTTAGTAGTCTTGTCTTGTCGTAGCACTTCCTCTCTTAGGCTTTCCCCCATGTCTGTTGCTTCTTCAGTAGCTCAACTTTGGGTGTCACCATACTGATGTACTCCTGGATGCTTTGGGTTCTATCCAGAAGAATCACTTTGACACTTACCAGACCCCTGCTGCTCTCTTTCTGTGTGATGTACATTTTCTGGATATTGAAGTGGGAACCTCTATATATTGTGAGGCGCTTCTGGGTCTTCACATTGGTAGTTTCCAAATCCTGCTCTGGTCAGCTCACTATAATGGCAGAATATCTGATGACTGGCAGGGCATATCTGTTCATAGCATGGAACTTGTTCTTCCCATTGAGCTGGCTCTTATCCTTTGGTGATATTTAGATGTTCCTTGCCTCCTCATTGTGATTCCCATGTGACTCTGGGAAGCCAAGGTACTTGTAACTGGTCTGTTATAAGGCTGCTAGACATCGGAGGACAGAAGAATAACCATAGCACGAGAGAAGCAAGCATTCTGCAAAGCCAGAGCTGCAAATGCTGCAACAATGGTGCCCACACATATCTACCCAACATGTGACAAAACAGTTCATGCCCATATAGGCCTTATCAGCCACCTGTGGACACATTGTGGACAGCCCACAACCTGTTAGATGTCAAAGTCCTCTTTGAACATGATGTACAAACATCAACTGGTCTGTATGTCTGCTGTGTGGTTCTCTGGTGCTGCATCACATCAGTCATAACTAGCTTCCCTTTGTTGACTACCATCTGGTCAGGCTTCTACAGTCTGAATGACATCCCAATGTTCTCACACTGTAAATCAGCAAGTCAGTGTCTCATTCACTCTTAACATACAGATTGATGTCATCCATGTAGAGGTGGTGACTATGGTAGTTCCATTCTTGAACTTGTATCCATATCCAGTTCTTGTAATTATCTGAGAGTGGGGGTTCAAGCATATGGAAAACAACATTAGGGACTGTGTATTACCTTGGTATATGCTGCACTTGATGGCCACTTGAGTGAGTTGCCTTGAGTTGAGTTGTCTTCCACAGTCCCATTGAGTTCTTGAGGAAGATCCCTAGTTGATTTTATAAAGCGCCATTCACTGTTCCATGTTTTCAGTATTGAATCCTAGGCTTTCCTGTAGTCAATTCAAACTGCCCAGATTTGTTTGTCTAGACTCTAGACTTTGAGTCTTGGGTGACTGTTGTACTATGGGTGTCTTGAGCCTCTGGCATTATTTCCAATGCCCTTCAGAGTTGTGTTTATGTAGTGGCCCATATGATCCTACAGCTTGGCAGCTGTGATGCTTGACGGGACTTTCCATGTTGTGGGGAGACAGGTTATTGGCCAGTAGTTGGACAGTGCTGTTCCTTGTGAGAATCCTTCATGATCAACACTGTTTTTCCTTATGTTAGCCAGTTTGGGTGGGAACCTGCTGCTACCAGCTGGTTCAAATATGCGGCAAGGCATTCTTGCACTGCTGCTGGTTTCTTTAGCCTGTAGATGTGGATTGTGTCTGGATCAGGTGTTGTCCTGCATTTCATGTTCTACTTTTGGATGTTTGCTACTGTGGTGGTGATTGATTCTTGTTTTAGAAATTGCTGTGGTCTGCCCTCAGGTGTTGCAGTAACTTTCCACTGGTATTATGTGTCTTCTCTATCTCCCATATGTTCTTCCAGCACTGTTCAGTTTCTGCTCTTGGTGGCTCTGCTTTTACTCTAATGTTGCATTGCAATTGGGGGTACGCCTTTGATGGTTGCTTGGAGAACAGGACATTTACCTTCTTGGTACCCAGTGCTGTGAACCTTTCTTTAGCAATCTCTAGGGCTTCAGATGGAGCCAGGCACTTGCATTCTTTTCAGTAGCCAGGTCTTATCCATAATCATTAGACCCAGGGGTGATATTCACTTACTTCCCTACCGGTTCGCAAATGTGACCATGCATGCCTTCCGCGCATGCACTTTACCTTTTAAAAGGGCCTAAATGGGATGCTGTAGACCCAGGGTGGGTGGCCATGGCTACCTGAGATTTCTGCTACCAGTTTGGGCAAACCGGTCAGAACCAGCAGAATACCACCTCTGTTTACACCCTTCTGTAATTCCACTCACTAACTTCTATTTGAATTTCCCTGATCTTAGCATCCAATCTCATCTTCTAAGTTGGAGAATACCCTACTTATACATGAACTAGAAGGTGGGGGGATAAGATTTATCACTATAATTTGCCAGTGTCAGTGAGTGATATTCACTAATAATGAGGCAATTCAAAAGGGTGAAGTCTAAAAGTCTAGTTTTATGTGTATATAAACTCCCAGAGTTTAGAAATGTTCATAAAATTAAACAATTATTATATAATGAAATTGCAAGATACCAATACAAGAAGTCATTGTTGCTGGAATCAGCTTTCTCTTAACTTCTTCCTCCCTGTCACCGCATCAGTGCCATATTCACTGCTGTAGACTTCTATTGATTTGTCATCTTCCATGTATTTTTGTTTCTCAGGTCTAGGAAAAAGCTCTGATCTGGAAAAAGCTGTGGCTACAGCAGCCTTGGTTTATGATAATGCGGCAGATGCTGAGGGCAAACTCAGCAAAAGTGAAGCTAAGAAGCTGCTCCTCCTTCAGTTTATGAATTTTATACAGGTAAGACTAAAGCCCTTATTCCATTACAACATCTAACAATGATGTCTGTAAAGAATCACTCTCCAAAATTTCATAGAACCTTCAGATGAGTAGAGATCCTGTATAAAACACCCTTTTAAGCATCGCAGAAGAAGAGAGATTTCATACACACCTGCAAATCCAATGAGGATGTGGGACTATTCAGGTCAGAGAAAGCGAAGTGAGGGCAGCTAAGCAGATGATTATCTGTCTTAACCACAAGCCAAGGACTTCTCTTTCTTCTCATTCCTCAAAGAGAGGGGACCTTCTAGAATTTTATACTGGAGAGCAACTGTCCCATTCAGGAGAAGGATTCACATTTAGCAGAGCAGCTTTTGGCTCGCATTGTCTACAAACAAATGAGAAAATATAATTACGTGTCCCCTTTTCTTCAAATCAGGAATTTTCAGTTTGGAAACTAACAATTTTATATAAGGTTCTTTCTTTTTCTGAACCTGGGAGTTCTGATGAAATAATGTTAAATTAATGGCTTTGAGGTTTCATTATGGCATGCAAAGGTTTTCTCTGAGTGTGCAATTGTTTACATTTATCTTGTTTGGTGAGCTATGAGGAAATATGGCCAAACTACTCCAACCAGAATCTTAATTTTTGTAAAAGTAAAAGGTAAAGTTTCCCCCGCACATGCGTGCTAGTCATTCCCGACTCTAGGGGGCGATACTCATCTCCATTTCAAAGCCAAAGAGCCAGCGCTGTCTGAAGATGTCTCCATGGTCATGTGGCCGGCATGACTAAATGCCAAAGGTGCACAGAACGCTGTTACCTTCCCATTAAAGGTGGTACCTATTTTTCTACTTGTATTTTTTATGTGCTTTCGAACTACTAGGTTGGCAGAAGCTGGGACAAGTAACAGGAGCTCATTTCATTATGCAGCACTAGGGATTCAAACTGCTGAACTGCTGACCTTCTGATTGACAAGCTCAATGTCTTAGCCACCAAGCCACCCTCAGTGTCATCCTTGAAAACACATTTTGTGGGTGGATTCCTTTCATTAATAAGAATGATGAAAGTCATGTCCATATTTTGCTATTAAAAAAAAAACTATTCACTTTCCTTCATAGGGTCAAGAAACCAAACCAAAGTACCAGGAAATGATGTCTGCTCTTGATGAGAACAAGAATGACAAAATCGATTTTGAAGATTTTATGGTTCACGTGGTTAGCCTCACCTTGATGTCTGATCTGCGGCAAGAGATTCAAAATGCACAGAAATCTAAATGATTAAGAACAATAAGTAAACAAACTGGGTTGGGAAAGGGGGAGGTTGGATTTTTAAAGCAAATGCTTTAGGGAACATTTCTATTCCAGTTGGAATTATTTGGGACATTATTAATATCTATCAATGAATCAATATTATAGACCCATGATGGCAAACCTATGGCATGTGCACCAGAGGTGGCACACAGAGCCCTCACTGTGGGTACCTATGCTGTCACCAGCTGCTCTTCTGGTTTTCAGCAGGCATGCTGGTCTTTGCAGGCACTGGAGTGCTGGAAAACAGCCCAATAAATGGCCTGAAAACAGCCTGAAAAATTGTCAATAACCAGACTTTTTTCCCAACTGTTTATTGGCTGTTTTTCGGCTGTTTTTCAGGCTGAAAATAGCAATAGCAGTTAGACTTATATACCGCTTCATAGGGCTTTCAGCCCTCTCTAAGCGGTTTACAGAGTCAGCCTATTGCCCCCAACAACAATCCGGGTCCTCATTTTACCCACCTCGGAAGGATGGAAGACTGTTGTGCCCAGCAGGAGCTGTT